ATCTCTCTCTCTCTCTCTCTCTCTCTCTCTCTCTCTCTCTCTCTCTCTCTCTCTCTCTCTCTCTGTCCCTCTCCTTGTCTCACACTCTTTTTTCTCTTTCTGTCTTTCGGAATTATATGTGAGGCAGCGTGGTAAAATCAGGCGCTCGTCAAAATAATGAAATTGAAGAAGCTGGCATTTTTCTGCCAGTTTAGCAATTTTTATTGAATTTTTGTTTTTTTGGCTTAACACCATTATTGTCAAATTAAGAACCCATTTCTGGGTGGGTTTTACTGAAAAACGTTGATTAAAGGCACACAAAATGTACGTTTTCAGTTTCAACGGACAATCAAGCTATGAAAATAACCAAACTTTGGCGGCCATTTTCTTGCTAATTCCACCTTTGAAGCAAGGCGACCCCACCTTCTTCAATCTCAAATATCCTGACTTCTCTTCAAGATTGATGGGTATTTTTTTCACCGATAACAAGACAACTGAACCAGCTTTAAGATGATCATGATACCAATAACTCCACATGCCCAAAAATGGACGAGCGCCTGACTCCACCACATCGTGACACATATTTAATCTCTTTCTTGCTCCAAGATTTTCGGTACTTAGTAGATGATGGGCTGTGCTTGCCCAGGTTTTTGTGCCATAACACGACATCTGAGCCCTATGTAGACTGTTCAGGACGGAATCTCAGGGGTGAATTTTGTGTGGGAAAACTTGTTTTCTTAACGGGAGGAGCGACCCTTGAGGACCATTTTCTATGTTTGTTGCCCGAGATGAAATCTAAGTACACATATATAAGTGAGGCATAGTAAAATCTCTTGATACACAATTTTAGTTTGGCATAGCTACAGTGGTTGCTATGGAAACGGCCGCCATCTTGAAAATAAATAAACAATGAATTTCTTATCTCTAAGGCTTTCTCATTTACTGACCAACTTTGACCAAATTTAGTGAGAGTATACCTGAACCAAACCTTATCAGCCTAAAAGTGAGTTTTTCTCAATAAGTGCAAAAGGAGAAAAAATGAGAATTTTCCCAAAGCATAAAAAACCTTTTCTAAATGTAAGTTGCGTAATCTCTTGCCAATGGAAAAGTTTGGTTTTTTTTTCGCAAATATCTTTCTGTTACATAAATGGCAAGGTATGTTTCCTGGAAGTTTTATGTCAAAAGGATGAAAACTAAGGAAGGAGTAGGGAAAAAACTGGAAAAAAACAGACATTTTACGCAAAACAACAATTATTGCAAAAATTCACTATATTAACCCGCCCTCATGTTTTCAAAGACAATTCACAAGGAGAAGAAAGACTTTCTCCATTGTCTCCATGCTATTTTTAGACAAAGAACTGGTTGATCTTCAAAAATCGACCAACATCTCAATGTGCATAGTGTGACCCAAAATCGGCAAAATCAAGGGTCGCTCCTCCCCTTAAAACAGTAGGAAGTCCAGCGAACCGGGCTCGTAAGTTGTGGGGTCTTAGGCGATCTCACCGCTGTAAAATGATTACTTTTATTATTATTAATATTATCAATATTATTATTATTATTATTATTAGTAGTTGTTGTTACTTTTCAATATTATTGTTGTTGTTA